TGAAGTCCTTCGGCCCTTAAAGGGGAAAGGTTGCCTACCCCTGGCTTACACATTGCAAACCACTTGGGGCAGGGGTTGGCAACCTTTGTTGCCGGGGGGCCGGGGGGGGAAATGGTGTGGGGGCTGGGTGGGCACGTGTGCACTTGCGCGCGCACACACACTTGCCCCCCGCGTGCATGGGCATGATGACGCTGTCGTACCCGTGCGTGGGGGCGCCATCTTGGAAGGTTCCACAGCGGCTGCGCTGTGTGAATTCACACGGCGCAGGTGCGGTGGGGCCTTCCCAAGGCGTGGTGGGGCCTTCCCAAGGCTCAACGGTGGCTGTGCAGCCGCCATTGGGCCTTAGGAAGGCCCCGCCGTGCCTGCACCTCTGCCATGGGGCGTTCCAAAATGGCGCCCGCCATTGTGCGCATGCCCGCACGAGCACGGGTGCCATTTTGGATGCCAAAATGGCGGCTGCGCTTGCACACGCATGCACACAGCACCTGCCGCCATGTGCATGCCTACATTCTCGCGCGCAGGGCAGCGGCGGCTCAGCGGCACTAGCCACGGGCTGGTTCAAAGGCCTCAGTGGGCCGGGTCTGGCCCGCGGGCTGTAGGTTGACGACCCCTGGCTTAGGGAGTGCTTAAGTGCACTGATAAGCAGTATAGAAATTACTTGCTATTGGTATTGCTAATCGCAGTGTGTGTGAAAATCTTCCTGTGATCACACAACTTTCATGGGATAATGACTCTGTAAACCCCCGATTTCTCCCCTGATTCTCCTCCATCTGACAAAGTTTTCAGAAATGTACTGCACCAGTGTTTTGAATGCTATTCTTCCTTAGCTAAGATTTATTTTTGTTGTTATATGTCTTCAAGTCATTTCCAATTTATGGTTACCCTAAGGTGTCATGGAGTTTTCTTGGCAATTTTGCGGGCTTACTATTTTCCACTTCTGAGGCTAAGTGTGATATGTCCAAGGACTAGCCCATTGATTTTCCATGGCCAAGAAGGGATTTGAACTCTTGTCTCCAGAGTTGTAATCCAGTACTGAAACCACTACACCACACTGGCTCTCAAGATTTTGTTTTACTTTGGTATAAATAGTCTGAATGACATGTTTTAAGCTTATATGATCTAGTGAGCAGTAGAATATATAGGAGTGTAGTGCACTACTGATTTTGTTCAAAATATTGTTGAATGTATTAAGTGTACAGAATAATGTGTACTTTTCACTCATAATATAGCAATAGGATGCCAAAAGTGTAGTACAGCAACATGTTTCCAAAAGAGGAACTCTTTAATTATTTGTGTTGCATTTTTATATTTTATGGTTCTACATTTTCTGTTCAGAGAACTTATTGTTAATATTTGAATAAATAAGTTAAAGAAGATCATTTTAATGTACTACATTAGCTTAGGTTTATGACCTGCTTTATTTTACATAGACTTTGTTATGGATTTAAACAAAGGTCAGAAGACATACGAACCATCCTAATATTTGTGAAGTCCTTCAAGTTCTAACAGCTACCTGCTTTTAAGTGCCGGTATTATAGCTTGACTAAATAAGATCTCAGAATATGCATTAAAATAAATATTAGTGCAATTTTAGCTTTGTACTTGTAAAAAAAAAAAGACAGTAACATTGCTCGTTTTAAATGAAATTTAATATTATGCTTAACGCTGAACAGACTGGCATTAAATGCCGGCCTTAGGGCAGAGTGGGGATGTGGCAGCTGCACACCCTGACGCTGGCATCATGCTGCCCACTTGATCAGACGACAGGTGGCATATTGCAGGTCCAGCTAGTACTGTGCTTAACTACATAGTATGGAGGGATCCCATCTGATCATGGAAGCTGATCAGGGGCAGCCCTGGTTAGTACTTGGATAGGAGTTTGCCAACGAATACCAGTTGTTGTAGGCTAGGGGTCGGCAATGTTACCTTACCTGGGGCCAGTATCTGGTCCCCAGGTCTTCTGGCAGGCCGGGGGGGCGGGGAATGGCGGCGCGTGCGCTCATGCGCACGTGCAGCCCCCACTACCGCCACGCGCGCTGCCATGCTGCCGCACATGCACTACTGCGACTGCGCGCATCTTGGCTAACGTTTTGTTTGCCAAAATGGTGGCCACGATGCACATGATGGCGGGAACGCGCGGCGGTGGGGGAGATTGGCAGCAGGGGTTGGCGGGGTGGGGGCGGCCTGTGGCCCGTAGGTTGCCGACCCCTGCTGTAGGCTATATTTCAAAGGAAGGAATGTCAAAACTACCTCTGAGTAGTCCTTCCCAAGAAAACTCTATAAAATTCATGGGGTTGCCATAAGTTGGCAGGCAGTTCAAAGGCGCATACGCACACACACACACACAAAATACCACATGGTTTTGTAAAAATTTCCATGCATACATTTTTGTTGTTGTGAGCACAGTTTGTAATCCAGAGGGTGTGGAATTGTATACTGCACATCTGTTTCCATCAAATGATGGCTTTGCATTGTTTATTTTAATTCATGTTATATTTGTCTTCAGTTCTTTGAGCGTCTCACATTATTTTGTGGGGGAGCTAATAATAATAATGATGATAATTTTTATTTATACCCCGCCTTTTATCGTAGCAATCAAGATGGCTTACATCTAAAACAATACAAAACTTCCCCATAATAGCAACAAATCATATAAATTAACACACTAACTCCCCCCTTAAAAATACATTAAATTCAAATGTCAATTAAAACCAAAGATTAAAATCATGAACAAAGTTAAAAACAATAGGCATTCTGGGGATATGGAGGGAAAATGGCAGGGGGAGATCGAGCTAATTGATTAGTTTATTCTGAGTAGGCCTGCCGGAAGAGATCCATCTTAACGGCTTTTTAAAAGTCTTCTAAGCTGGTTATCTGATGAATCTCTTCCGGCAAGGCATTCCATAATCTGGGAGCAGTGGCAGAGAATGTCTTCTGGGAGGTCGCCGTCAACCTAGTTTTTATCGGTTGAAGCAGCTTTCTTCCAGAGGACCTAAGGGTGCAGGGCAAATTGTATGGAAGTAGGCAGTCCCTTAGGTAGGTTGGACCCAGGCCATGTAGGGCTTTAAAGGTCATCACCAACACCTTATACTGTGTTCAGAAACCAACAGGCAGCCAGTGGAGGGATTTTAACACCGGTGTGATACGATCACTCCTTGATGTTCCAGTGATCAACCTGGCTGCCATATTTTGTACTAGTTGTAGTTTCTGAGTTAGGTATAAATGTAGCCCCATGTAGAGTGCATTGCAGAAGTCGAGTTGTGACGTTACCAGTGCATGTAGTACAGTTTCTAGGTCCCTTACTTCCAGGAAAGGGCGCAGCTGGCGTATCAGCTGAAGCTGATAACAGGTACTCCTGACTGTCACATTCACTTGATCTATCATGTGAAGCGATGAGTCCAGAAGCACCCCTAGACTGCGAACACAGTCTTTAGCAGAGAGCGGGACCCGCCCAGGATTGGAGGTTGCAACCGAATACCTGGTTTGGGGGCCCCTACTGTAAGTACCTCCGTTTTGTCTGG